CCCCTAACCCTCGGGATCATCCCCGATTCCTTGGGATTGACCCCAAATCCTCGGGATTGGCCCCAAATCCTCAGGATTGGCCCCAAATCCTTGGGATCAGCCCCAAATCCTTGACATCGGCCCCAAATCCTCAGGATCAGCCCCAAATCCTCAGGATCGACCCCAAATCCTCAGGATCAGCCCCAAATCCTCAGGATCGGCCCCAAATCCTCGGGATCCAGCCCAAGCCCTCAGGATCAGCCCCAGATCCCAGCCCAGCCCTCGGGAATGTTTTTTTTCCCAGGATTTTGGGTGGGATTTGGTTCCATCTCCATTTCCTTCCCTTTCCCACCTTTTCCTTTTCTTTCCTTTCTTTTCCTCCTCCTTTTCCTTGGATTTTCCCCATTTTTCTTCCTTTTTTTTTCCTTTTTTTCCTGTTTTTTTTCCCCCTTTTTTTTCCCCTCCCCTTTTCCCGGTTCTCCCAGCCGCAATTCCCGGAATTCCCTTTTCCAGGAGAGCTTCGATTACATCGGCAGCTCCCGCCTGGTTTGGGACATGGAGCAGGAGAAATTCCCGCTGCGCCTGGAGAACGTCGGAGCCTTCCTGGAGCTGGGCCAGGTCCGGGGGAATTCCAGAGGGGAAAAAATTCCCGGGAAATCCCGGAGCCGAGATTCCCACCCAGAGCTTTCCCTGGAATTCCCAGAGTTTCCTTCAGAATTCCCGGAATTTCCCCCTGAATTTCCCCCCAAATTCCCTGAATTTCCCATCCCAGCTGTGATTTTTTTCCCTGGAATTCCCATCCCAGCCGGGGTTTTTCCCTGGAATTCCCATCCCAGCTGTGATTTTTCCCTGGAATTCCCATCCCAGCTGTGATTTTTCCCTGGAATTCCCATCCCAGCCGGATTTTTCCCTGGAATTCCCATCCCAGCCCGGATTTTTCCCTGGAATTCCAGGTGGCGCTGCAGAACGACTCCGTGCTCTGGCTGCACACGGATCCCATCTCCCGCCGGAACGAATCCGTGGACGAGCAGGTGAGGCCGGAATCCCGGGAATGTTCCTCATCCCGAGAAACCCCCGGGAATTCCCAAATTCCCTTTTCCGTGGCTGTTCCAGCCGAAAATCCCCATCCCGAATATCCCGGGAAAATCCGGAATTTCCTGCAGGATTTCCCATTGTTCCCATTTTTCCATCCCCATTCCCACCATTCCCACATCCCCATTCCCTTCCCGTTGTTCTCATTCCCGATTTTCCATTCATTCCCCCATTCCCATTGTTCCCGTTGTTCCCATTGTTCCCATTGTTCCCATTCCCATCACCGTTCCCATTGTTCCCGTTGTTCCCATTGTTCCCATTGTTCCCGTTGTTCCCATTGTTCCCATTGTTCCCATTCCCATCACCGTTCCCGTTGTTCCCGTTTTCCCATCCCCATTCCCGTTGTTCCCATTGTTCCCATTCCCGGTTTCCCATCCCCATTCCCATTGTTCCCATTCCTATTGTTCCCATTCCCATTGTTCCCGTTGTTCCCGTTGTTCCCGTTGCTCCTGGTGTTCCTGTTGT